ATCTTGGTCTGTGCCTCAGGGTAATTTATTAAGAAGGCCATTGCAAATGTGAGGGTGGCTGTCGCTGTGGTGGCAGCGGGGAACAAGAAGTCAATGCCCACTGCATGCAGCTGCTCCTCTAGAAGGGAATCAATTCAAGAAACTCTAAAAACTTGTCTAGTCTCACAGCCAATGTCCTTGAGATTCTGTTATCTGCCTCGTTCATAATATAAGATGATGAAACTCACCTGAGAAGGAGGAGTGTTCTGCAGTCTCAGCGCGTCTCTTCATCTCCTTGAGGAAGATATCTATGAAATCGCGCGTGTAGTCTTCAGAATATGTTGCCTTATGCTCCATCACTGCTTCCTGCAACATTCATTATTCGGGTGACCGGCGTTTTGCCTGTCATGCATGATGACATTTATATTAAAACAAATGAGATAACAGCAACAAGTTCTGGACAAGAGCCCTAACGCTGATGTTATCCTGAGGAAGATAGGGGGATGATTATGGAAATTGGTTGTTAAAGAGTAGAGAAAGACATTTGTGATCTATGGGAATGTTCATTTTTGGCTGATTTCACTACTTTGCCATTGGCTCAGATTTAATAGCCTCGAATGATATGAGATTAACTAATATCAAAATTTTAAACAATATAGAAGGAAATATTCATGACCTAGTTTAATGTAATGTCTATAATTTGACCTGAGGTGATGAGGAAAGTCTTGATTTTGAGTATTCAGACCCAGTATTAATTGGCAACCTCCTGAGCATGATTCCAGAAAGCTAACCTCTCATTTGTAACATTTTGTGTGGCAGTGAATGTATTAGGCACTGCCATAGGACTGTGTACTTCCCTTCATATGGCTGGTTGGATGGTCCAACCCCTTGAAGATAAAAGAAGATCCAACTCTGAGATATAATGATCAACTAATCCTTAGACAATGGATGATATCAAATATGATGTTTCTCTAGAGAGTCATCCATTGTAACAAACATCAGAAAATCACCCTGATATCAACCCAATCAACTGCTGAACTTTGAAGAAAACTAATGCTGAAGCGGCCCTGTCGTGTCAGATTTACGAGTGATGCTGTCCAGCGACAAGAGAAGAAATGAATGTTCGTGGCAAATTTTAATGTTTTTCGAGATGAACGTGGAGGTAGTGTGTATGAGAACAGGGAGTTGCTGAGAATATCTGGACTGAAGAGTAATGAAGTAACAGGAGGATGAAGGAAATTACGTATTAAGCAGCTTCAGAAATTGTGCTCGTCGTTAAATGTGTTAATTGGGTCATCAAAACCCTAGAGGGGTGACACCCCCGAATTTTACGAACAAGATTTGAGCGGTCTGTTGCACTGACAACAGCGGTCGAATTAGAGTGCGAATTATTCTTCGCCGCTCGTGAAGACGGCTGTAGTGTGGCGTCTGTTCGTGAATACTGAGGGACCGATTAAAGCGGAAAAGTTTACGCACTCACCAAGGGACCAGACACACTGTCTGCATCTGCCTTAATCACATGGAAGCTGTGGCGTGCCGTGCATGAGAGCAAGGGAGCATTGCTTCCGTAGTTGTGAAACGAAAACAAAAGAATACATGCATAAATAGTTAATTTGATTAATAAGGATTGTGAATATTGTCATCTCTATAAACATGGCGCGTGGCGAAGCAGGAGACCGGACCGCAGGCAGCGAGTGTCCTTGGGCGACGTAGCAAGTTTCCTTTCGTTAATCTTCGTAAGAGTTCGTCCCACCCGAAGCAACTCTGGCTATGTTGTCCGCGCTCGTTGGCCTGTAGCTCAGGCGCTCCTTGGCCTGTAGTGCAGAAGCGATAGAATGTGTTCTTTCAATGGTGATGTGAAAATTAGGTGTTGTTTGTTGAATAAAGAAACGTACGGACCAAGACTGGATTCGGTGATATCAACAGCATTGAAACGACATGAGAACCCTCAAACCAACGTTGTTTCAACAATGCAGCCTGTGTTTTGTTCTGCAGGATTACCTCCATGTACTTGAGCATGTTCCGAGTCGCCTGAATGACGTCTGTGAACCCGCTGTAGTAGGGAATGAGGTGTCTAATCCACGGCGTCTGCGCAAGGGCATTTCCTGTGACGTCGACACTTTTCTGGAAGCGTAACGCTTGTCGAGTGAAGCGTAGTAGTTTGTCGTGATCCTTGGTGGGAAAGCGCTGTCCAGTTATAATGAACCATATCGCATTGAAGAATGTGGCGTGGAAGATGTCAGGTACCAGAGCAAGGCCGTCTGAGAAAATGTCCTGAAAAAGATAGCAGTTGGTTTTACTCCAAAGCATCTGAGTCCCACAAAAGACGGAGGAATTTTTGATCAGATAGCGGCTATCAGCTTCCCAAAACGGGAACTGCTTCACGTTCTGTTACCTTGCTCTCGCGCCGCTCATTAAGAAGATCCAGCAAGTCCTGTATCTCTTCCTTCCCGATGTCTTCTAGTTGAGCAGATCGCCTTCCGAAACCAAAATCTCGCATGTGCCTTAAAGCGAAGCGTCTCTGCTCCTCCCAGAACACGTCGTCCGTAAGAATTATTCCTGGGGCACGTAAAAGGAGAGCTTCAGATTCAGTGAACGACTGGACACGTCAAGGTCACTATTGCCTTGTATGGAATTTGATAAATAAGTTGCGGTTTGGATCAATGAGAGGGCACGCGATTCTGTCCTTAGTTTACAATTTACGTCTCCAAAAAAAAATTGTTTATAGTTTAATTATACCGACAGTATTTTTTTCGTTTGTGTCAACTTCGTGTTCACCGTTCTTCAAACTAACTAAATAAAATGAAAGCATGATGTGGAGGCCGGCATAATCGTTTCCAGGATTATGTGATACATTTTGGTGCATGCGCAAAGCAGTTAGTAGAGTCAAATTTTGTTTCGGCCCCGGTCAGTCAAATATTACTTAAAATTCATATTAAATGTCTCGAAATGGCTCTTTGTAGGATACGCAACGGAAATGCTTGTAATGGCACAATTCAAATCTGACCAAAGTCACTCAATAAAGGAGCCTTCAATATTCGTAATAAAAGAAATAATTTTTGAATGTATTCAGTGCAGTACTTAAATTACCAGCTAGCTACTCGAGCTAGCCTCAGATCTGTACCAATGATTCGAGAGGAGTGAAATAAAGTTAAAGGTAAAAGGTGGAGAAATGTGCTGACACCTCTTGTCGATTTAATGACGCTCACCCAGGTTCTTGTTGTACGTGCGCATGTCAAAGACGGGAGCCTTGACCCTTCCCTGGAACTCCGGTCGCGTGAGCACGTGCTTGATGTTCTGGTAGTCATTGACGACTACTGTAAGGAAGGGTCCGAGGTACAGACCCATGATCTTGGTACGGTATTTCTGTGCCAGTTTGTGGAAGCCTATGTGAGTGAACTTGAAATTGTTCAGCAGCACGAACCAGTAACTTCCCCACACAGGCAGGCGAGGCGGACCTGAAGGAGAGTTGAGAGTCATTACAGAACAGCTGATGAAGAAGCAGTTCGATCCGTCACTGGTCCAGCTTACTCAAGTTATTTCACATCTTATTTCCCTATGGTCTTCTTAAATGATCACCTCACTTAAGAAAATTATGCTGACTGGATTCCACAGGTTAGGAGTATTATCCGGCGTCCAAGATTTGTGATCTCAGAAAATAAAATACTTTTTCTCTCATGATGGTATAAAAATTCTTTGGGAGAAACCGTTTGATGGTCTGCTTCTCAAGAAAGACTCTGATCCATACAGCCAATAACTTTTTTTTATTCCTGACGACTTTTGTTTACCAGAATCATGTGTTGATGTTTACAAATTAATCGAGACCCAAATATCAGGAGTCGAGTTACGATTAATTATTCTGCATTACTCATGACTCGTAGATACGCACAGAGTTTTACAGCAAGGCAATTAATTTCTTTTTTTCTAAAAGCTTTCCCTCATGTTTACACAGAAAACAAAGAGTCTCTTTGCCTTGCCGCTTCAGTCGGTCTAAAATGCGTAATACATTTCATGGCTTCTCCTTATGCCAGTCAGTTGTAATGAGTGACAGTCGGTATCCTTGTAATGAGAGGAAGTTTTATTCCGAGTGTCTGCGGGATATTTCAGTGCGGTAGTGTTGACACTACTGAAACTTTAGTGAAAACAAAAAAACCCATCTCATCTGAGCTACTCGCTAAATTGATAAACTAACTCTTGAGGTTTAAACCTCGCGGTCTCTCCAAATACAAAATTGCTTATGAAATTTTCAGTCAGATTACACATTTCGCAGGACTCCTTGGTCGGTGGATCCCCCACGTCGCAAGGCCTCTGCCTGCACAGAACAGCACGTCAAAGAAGTTCGTTGGCAATCATCCATGCCTTGACCGGGATTCGAAGCCACGATCGAATTTATCAAAGCTGCCAAGACCTGGGTTAAACTTACAGATTTCCATACCGAATTATGCATTACATGAGAGAGGCCGTCAGATAATGCATTCGACTTTAAAACTGACTTAACTGAGAAGCACGAAGAAGTAAGGTTAATAACAAATTGACACATCCATAGCCGGCAAACATGTACTAATGGACATGTGAGTTAAGCCTATTATAATATATAATTTTTGTATAGTTTTCTTCGTTATGGAGGCAAATTTAAATGTTATTACTTTACTTATCTGATTAATGTAATATTCGTATTGTTATGTGTATACACTAACTTCTGACCATCAAGAATCATAAGTAGCTACTGTGGGGTACTGTAATAATACAAGTAGTTATAATCCCTGACGATGGTTCATATAGGCCGAAACATTTCGATTCCTCAAGTGTTTCATAAATGTGTTAGTAATTTTAATAGCCGCGAATAGTCTAAGACGTGTATTTACTACATTTATATAAACTTGTACCTGGTGGGAAGTTTGGTGGCCGCTGGTTGGTGAACCTGTAAATGTAAAACAGCGCCAAACAAACGACGATCAGAAGCAGTACCAGCGCCATCACGCTGATTCTAGAACGGTTCAAATGTAGGACACAAATGACTGACTTAACTCAATTTTCAGAAATATATGCGAATTTAAATCATGGTTCACTGAGGTTTTGATTCTGATTGGATCGAGTTATCTAAAATCCATCTTCGTCATTCGGAATTACGTGATCCGAGGAGGAAGGAACGAATTTGCCTTTCTACTTAAAGGTCATCCCGCCAGAAGAGCTTATCAATACAAAGAGTTACTGCCAGGAATCTACAATCCTTGGCCTATCTGTTTTGACAGATGTACTTTATTAGTTTCCCTACGCACTAATGCAACTGACTGTAAATGTCCGTAAAGCAAGAGCAGTTTTAGGCCCTTCTGGTATCAAATACGTCCTATTATTTTCTGTTCATATACGAAGTGAGTCTTATCGAGAAAATATGATTATGTGCCCTTGTGGCATGATGCCTGTGGTGTTATCTGAAAAGAATAGAAATATTTAGACATCGCCATTTGAGTATCTATTTATTTAAAGTAGGAGCTTCCGGTCAGGCGTGTTCTTTAACCTGTGGCCTTGATTCCGTCCCAGCGCCATCACGCTGATTCTAGAACGGTTCAAATGTAAGACACAAATGACTGACTTAACTTAGTTTTCAGAAATATATATAAATGTAAATTATGGTTCACTGAGGTTTTGTTGCAGATTTGATTTTTTTTATCTAAAGTCCCCATTCGTTAGGGCTGCATCAAAAGATCAATAAACTGCTGACGTAACATTCAGTTGCTTTATGGAACATCTGGACGGAGCCCACATCTGAGCGCTCTCACAAGGCGCCATAGCCGTGTGGTGGGAGAGACGTCGCTATCTGAGTTCCTGTAAAAGCTTGCACCTTTACCCGATAAACTGTTAACTAACTATCGGTGTCATGGAGGAGTTGGCAATGTGTGGATTGCCCTATGTCCCCGTGTGACCTGCGAGTTAATCTCAGGAGCAATGACCTATATAAGTAGAAACACCAATAACCTGAGATTCCCTCACAACAACATGGCCCCACTTCTGGCTGACGTAGAAAGCTCTAGGTCCACTTCCAGCCCGATGGGTCACTTCGTTGGGAGTGCGCTTATCGTTAATGAAATGCCCGAATAGCGGATAGGGCTCAGGGAACCGACACCTTGACTACCAAGGTCTTGTCACCTCATGACTTCGATTGTTTCCACAGACCACTTGGACAGGTAGGCACAGAAATGCTACAGTGAACGTGGGATAATCTCACAATCTCCCGGACGTTAATCGCGTTACTAATGTTGCACACACAGAACGCATGTAAACAAAACGTGAAGAGTTTCTCCTCGTGTACCAAGCTAAATGTTTGTTATAACTGCTCAGGTGCATTAAGTACAGTGAACTGGGATCGTCTAATTCATTTTGACACACCCTGTATAGTGAGCACAATGTTTGATTATCACTTCTGAACATGTCTTCATCACATACGGACGATGTTTGTGGTACCTCATAAGATGAAGGGTGAGTTACATAAGATTATTTAAAGAGAGATGAAAAATAATATAAATGCTTTAACTATTTTCTAATACAGCAAATCCAGCGTCGTTTTTTTCATTTCTACTCTGACGAAATTCCAAAAATCTTCAGCGTAACGGACGCGGCGGGAATGCGAATAATTCTGTTGCTGTTAATAGCAGGTGGCCCATCGCGTCCAGGTCGTGGCACGATGCGTTTTCCAGTTTTGTTACTGCTTTTGCAAGCTCCTTCGGAACGTAATAAACATAAAGATTTGAAATTGACACTGTTTGTAAAACAAGTGAAATGAAGTTCTACGAACATGTTGCTTATTTGCATGTTTGTTGTTGGCCTAGGTCTCGGTATCACTTACTCGTTGCTTCTTGTGCGTGACATTTGTCGTCCACGTGCACCGGGTCGTGACTTTTGTTTGTGTGTCATTGAAAATATGGTTTGTGACTTAGTATCAGATGAGGAATTAACAGAGTTATTTTTATTTCCCTTGTAAAAATCAAATCTTTTTAATCTTCCGACCAATCAGTTTTCTCAGAAATGTTGAAACGATTAAGGAATATGTTACACAGTACTTATGCTTCATAAATTAATATTGAACTTACGCACTTCGGACCTTTGTCACTCTGAAAGAAATTTCTTCACTTTAATAAAAAGTACAAAATGTTATAAGAATAATAAACTCAGTAGTCGCAAATTACATTTTCTAACTTTATGTTTCCTTCCTATTTAACACCTTAACTTTATTAGTATAAAGTCAAATTTGCTGTTTGCTTCGTTTGATGAATGTAATCAGTTGTGAAATTCTTGCGACACCTCACCCCCTTCCCGCCCGAATTTGTGTAGACCTGTTCAATTAATCACATTTCGCCCCTTTGTTTGGTAGAGATCTAATCTTTGAAGACGAGATTGTCAAATAATATTTACGAATTCAATCTGTATAGCCAACAAGACAACTCTTCAACATTTCGAAATCAATGTTATTTTAGGAAACAACCGATGATTACAGAGATGATCATACAAAATCCATAAATACAAAAGTACATAATGAATAGTCTCTGCGGGATCCGTTCATCGTCCTCCAACAGACTGTTATCTTGGTCTGCATGGCAACTGTAGTCTCGTTGTTCGTCAGGGGAATCACTGTGGCCTTGAGGATCTGTTGTGCAGGGTGACCTGACTGGACTCCTCCTTCACCTGAACGTCGATCCACACCTGAGGACCTCAAGCATGACAGGTTCTTCGTTGGCAAGACTGAGTATTCGCTGTACGTTGTGATCTTTGCACGATACGCGTTAAATGAACCCATATAGAACTGTCCGCGTCTGTCTGAAGGTCTGTCCTCATAATTCACCTGGATTAAACTCCGTTGAACTGATTCGTCGCCTTGACCTGAAGTGATTTCCCCCCCCCCTTCCCCCGAATCCAAGACGCAGAGGCCTTCAGCCGAAGCGATCACAACCACTTTGGGTTCAAATCCCAGAGAACCATCCAAACAAAATCCTTTACACGAAGGACAAGTTGCCTGACGGGATAAACTCTCATAAGCAGCAACAGACCCTAGTTTGAGTAGCCGAGGTTACAAAACCCCCGTTAGCGTAAGCAAATTCCAATTTTAGTTTTAAGGCCCTGTTTACCATTTACAGCAATGCGCTTCGTACGCAGGAATGGTGCTACCTAGCAAGGGACGATGTCGTGCGCTAGAGAAGGATTCCGCCCTTAGGTTTTGTTTGGTTGGTCGCACGACTTATATATCGCTCTGATGATGCAGGCGGCAAGGACTTCTGAATCTCAAGCCATGTTTGACAGCGCAGCCGTATTGTGGTGACTGGCTAGGTTCACCAGGAAGTGGGCCTTGAATCGATTGACGTCGTTTGACTCAGCTGACGTGTAAGCCTGCCGCCTGGAGGGGATGGGGGATGACTACTTGGGGCTGTCCTGATATCAGAGCTTTAATTCTCTGGTGTTAAGAACACGGTGGTAACTTCAACACCGATAGAAAGATTTAATACGAGGTGCGATCGGAAAGTTTCAAGACTGTGTTAATAGAGGGCGAACCGGATGTAGTACGAGCTTCTGCCGATAGTGGGTGCGGCCTACATTCATAGTGAATCAGAGAGCTCCTTGCTGTCTCCATTATCAGGCCAGAGTGTGATTCGTGAGTGTGGAATCGATTTGAGATGATGTGCAAATCAGTTAAAGTAGGTTAGTGTATGATGTTTGGATACATTTGGAATATTATACTTTATTTAATGAGATTTATTTTGATCATATGGGATACCGAAATTTACAAATTTTATTTTATTTTGATTTGTTGGTTATTAAACAGGTTGTGTAGTCAAGCAACCACTTAAATGTCAGCGTTCAGTTAAGGTTAGGTTGCAGTTTTCCTTTTATTTAAAATTGCTGCACTGAGAACGCAATCCCTCCTCTCTCCAACTCTCCTTGGAGCCAAATACAGCCACGTAACAAATTAAATATTGTGCTTCTCACACCAATACCAAGTTAGTTAGATTGGGTGCAGTTGACAATATAAGCTCAAGCAGCCATCTTCCTGCAAATCAGGTCATTTCAGCGAAACGCTTTACATATTTGTCACGTGTTTTGAAATTATTTCCATTTTATCTTCATTGTTAGTGTGTTTGAATTGGTGTTATTAATTAAATTTTATATTTGCAATAGAATGAATCGTGATATTATTGTTTTGTAGTGGTTTAGTTCAGGAAGTGTTTAGATTAGGAATGAAAGATGAGGTTTGCATGAGGCACCCAAAGACATTGTCTTCAGCATATTCGGGGAAAGAACAACAAAATATATCAGAATGTGAACATCAAAACGAAAAGGGGAACAAATTCCCACATCATATTTTATCACTACCAACGTCCGTGAGCTCCTCTTCTGCACACGTTCACAAAACTAATATCTTGTCTCTCTTAACTCTTCGGAGCAATTCTGTATAAGACGTCCTTGATCTAATGGGTTACAGATTTGCGGTTATTCCAATTTGTGTGTCACAAAACATTGGTGTGACAAGATGTCATGTTCCTTGTCCTCGCATTATATTGCTTCCTGAGGGCATCTGCATATCCACTGGAAGTCTTTCTTACAGATTCGTGTATTGAAACTTTAAGACCTGGGCTCAAACCGAATCCACATATCCTTCTTTGTGACAATAATACCTGGCAGATCAGGATCTGTGGTGGGCAGCGGTTTTCCTTGGGCACCCTTCACAGTAAAGTTCTGCAGCAGTGCTGACAGAATCAGGAAGATGAATTGGCGGGAAAATGTTTCACCAGTACACAGACGCTTACCTGGTGACAAGAAAGCACAATGCAGTTTTAGGAAGTCAAGTGTCAACATTTATAGGCCTTAACTACAATTACTCACCTGAATAATAAATTCCTCACTTTCCAACGAAACAGATGATCCACTCATCATCCTCACATCATATTTGCCCCAGATCCATTTTAATATTATCCTTGTATCCGTGCCATGCCATTTATCTCATGCACAATGTATGTCCTGACCAGTCCTTCGATTTGCATTAATATAATTGAGAAGCTGTTTAATGAGAAATACATTTTTGTGAAGAAACAAAATGTTTTCAAAAGGATCTTGTGGGCCCGTATTCATGGAAGATTTCGATATTCAAAGATGTCTAAAAAATGCGGCTAGAGTTCTATCACATTAGGTTAATGCCCAAAATAAATTAACTCTCAGCAGGTGATTAAAGTAAACTGACGTCTGAGATGAATGAATCACCAAGGTGATAAGACACACAAAATGTGATAAGTGAAATGCAAAATGTGACACAAGAGATCTGTCTGTTCACTTACATTCTCAGACTACAGCCACACATCTATCTTGTGATGTTTACCGTAAGAGAAAACATCTTTCTTCTCAGTATATCACGGTTGGTAATATTTTATTTAGTGAAGTGGGTGCAACCAGTATCCTCTTTTCACACTATTCTTAGTTTAACATCTCATCATGAACGTTCTGATGGATACTAGTGTGCTGGGTATGATTTCTAAGGCCTGGTCCATTCCAACAGGCAAATTAAATCCCAAAAATTTGTAAACCACACAATCTGTCTCTTCAATTAAATTATATCTGACATGTGGGCAAGGACATATATAACTATTATTGGATCACATGTTTTGTGTGA